TTTATTGAAAGTTTTTCTATTTTGTCTGTTGAAAAAAGAGTTTGTGATAAACTTACAAATGATAAATATTATCTATGAACATCCATGTACTAATTTTGTCAATGATTATCTCATTAAATTTTTCATTCGTTTCAGGATTTATTCTACTGCCGTGTTCGCTGTCAATCAGAGAGTTTGAATTTTTTGTCTATTGTTTTCGGTCAAGTGAAATATCTCTTTTCATATAGTCTGAGATCGAATCAAGTAAACAATCATTTCTAAACGTAAATATTAACTACTATAGGGACAATATTTGACCCACTCAGACTAATTGGACCAGTTGTAGTATCAGCAAAAAATATAACACAGCAACTATGGTAATTGAAAACAGATTGGGACGACGAGGTGCCCGCACATATAAGTCGGGAATGGGAAGCGTATCATGATCCAGATATCGACAAAATAAAAATACTGCTTCAAAAATTTGATGTGACGTGTGTAGTATGCAAATTCACGTTTTTTCGGACGCGTCTACAAATATCTACGGATCATGTGTTTATTTAAATGCACCTGATGCGGACGAGTTGAGTATAGTACGACTTATTTCGGCAAAACCGCGAGTAGCTCCGTTAAAAATTATTTCACTCACAGAACTTGAACTGTGTGCCGCCGTATTATCAGTACGTCTCGTCAATAAGATAGTTTCAAAACTTAATTGTTGTATAAGTAAAATATGGTATTGGTCAGATTTAAAAATCATTATCGCATGGGTAAATTCACCATCCTCTCAATAGAAATCATAAATTTTTCACCGCATCGAAAAAATACATAACACTTCTATGGCTGCGCAAGAAGCCCGTGCAGTCCAGTGATAATCCGGCAGATCATGGGGATTGCAGTGAATTCACTAACAGATAATAAATTACGGTGGACAGGTCCAACGTGGCTAACTCATGACAAGTCAAATTGGCCTAATAACAATTGTCAATATATTGCAAAAATGTGATTTAGAAGAAAAAATATGTAGTTACATTAATAAAAATTGAAAACACCGATATCAACGAACAGTTTTCATCATTAACTAAATTACTCAACATAACAGCATATAATTTACAATGGAAAAAATCACAAAAGATAAACTGTCCTCAAATTCAAAAAATAATTACACTGTTTATATCGATCCAGAAGAAATTATTCAGGTTAGACTAAAATGATTGTTAATCGTACAATCTGAATATTTTTATGAATAATAATAATGTTTACGAAAAATAGAGTCAATAAAACATAAATTATTTTTTTCTTAACACTTTCGTTGACAATACTGGTTTAATTTGTGTTAGTGGCTGATTAAATAATTCAGTGTCTATCAGTAGTGACAGAAAAAATTCAATTTTACAACTAACAAAATCTACTTTCACTATACTAATATTTAAGTATGAACATATTCGATGACTGCATGCTGGACTATAGGCATTATTAGCAGCTACTCGAAAACAAACCCATAAATGAACGAAATATAGCAAGGTATACTGTGCATAAATGCATACCTTATTTCAAATCTAGACCAATGATATATCAACCAATTATGAGAAACTTACCGAGCAATCGAGTTACAAATTTTGACAAAGTATTGTAAAAATCAATAATTTGTTTTTCAATATAGTATTTATTTTGAGATAATTTGAGAGATTTATAATAAAATGATCATTCTGTATATACAATACACATGAAGTCAACATGAGTTTTCAACATTTCGTTGTATTAGCTTCGACGCGAAGCTAAAAGGTATTAATTTTACTATGATGTGTTTTATTTTTGTGTCTATTGCCACTTTTTCTCTGCTTTCGCTGGACCGATTTTTTTCAATGATATGTCAGAAAATCACAAATCGTATCTAGTTGAAGACATTGCCCTTGAAAATTGAAAAATATTCCCTCGTTAACTATAAATGGCACAAATCCCCCAAAAAATTACAATTTTTAAAATCTGTAAATTTTGTCATTTTTTTCACATTTTTTCTTAAAACTGCTATAACTTTTTGAAAAATTGACATAATTTTTTTTTAATTGAAACCTTTGATATTTGATTTTCATTTGATATCACTTTTTTGAAAAACTAACACTTAACCTGCTCACAGGAGGAAATTAAAAATAGCAACATTTTTACAACAATTGACTTCAATTTTCAACTTTTGAACATTCGAAAATGTTCCGAAAATACTGCGATAAAAAAAAATTTGTCCCGACGACTTATCTTTTATGTGCAAATAGCTGTTGTAGTTAATAATATTCAATTTTTGTGATAAAATTTTTGATTTTATATTTTTATTTTTAAATTACTATAATTTTTTGAAAAATATATGGATCAATGCAAAATTTTGTTTCTAAATGCATTATATATAACCCTATCATCTGATATAAATTTTTTTTAATCGGAGCATATTCCTTCATACAAGGAAGTATGTAGAAAGTAGAACTTTTTCAACTTAAATTTTGACTTTTTAATTTAAGAATATGTTACCATAATTTTTAGCTCAATTACAAGTTTAAAATTGACATTATTAAATAGAAAATTGTATGAGCATTAAAAAATTGTATTGTTAAGATTATTACGCATTCAAGAAATTTTATAGTATGAAAACCTCGTATCTCAGGCGTATAAGACACAAATGATACAGACTCAGCAACCGTACGTTGCATTTATCGGTTGAAAAAAATTGTAATTTAAACTAGCTCAAATTTCAAAGTTATTTTTCTTGATTTAAAAAAAGAAAAAAGTTAAATTTTCTATGCTCTTTAATTAAATTTATATATTATTTATGAAAATCAATGTATTCTCATCGTCTGGTATTTTAAAATAAAATACAAAACCGAGAATTTTAACAAAAAAATAAAATATTTTTGAATATAGCGACCATTTTTGCCATGAAGTCAAGTCCAGAGGTAAATTGTTTTCTTAATTATCTTTAAGTTAGAAAAAAATTGAAAGATCGTTTGATTTTTATCGCATTGAAATTCAATAACTTCAATAAATATTAAGGACATCATTTTAATCTCCACTCTTGAGAAGAAATTTCTTAATCATTTTAAAATTATTTTGCTATATGGTTTTTTTATGACTAAAATTTGACACGACTTACGTGGTGCGATGTCACGAATACGACATCAACAGGTTATTTTTTGTTCGTTTGCGTCGGGTCGTCGCACAGTGGTCTGAAATCGAATTTTAGGCACTCATAAGTCTCATTTTAAAATGTACTCATAATGTTAAAATAATTATGAAAATTCAATTCTAGTATATTGCTTAGACAAAATATAAAATTTCAAGGTCACATGTTAATCCGGTCGTTATTTATAGCCGTTTGAAGATAGATATGGTTATATTACGGTTATTTTAACATAAAAGAGGTCTTTCGTTGTAAAGTTTTTTAACATTAACATAGCATTTTTTGAGACGTTTTTAAGCCGCAATAAAAAATTATATTTTTGAAATCTAGACTAGTTGCTCTACAATATCTATACATTGATACTTGGGTAAAGTAGGGTAATTTTTAGTATTGTGCTTTTTAGTTTCAAAAATGCCTCAAAAAATTCTCTATTCTATTAAAACGATCATTACTTAGTCAAAAAAAATTTTTTTTCGAAATTTTTTTTTTTTGATATCTTTGACCTTTACTTTTGATAAAATAATAAAAAAAAAAATTTTTTTAACTTTACAACGAAATACCTTTTAGCTTCGATGCGAAGCTGAGAAGGTATTGGTTTTACTATGATATGTTTTTTTTTTTTTTGTCTGTTACCACTTTTTCTCAGCTCTCACCGATCGGATTTCTTTCAACAATACGTCAAAAGATCACAAATTATATCTAGTTGAAGACATTACTCTTAAAAATTGAAAAAATTTCTCTCGTTATCCATAAATTGGGGAAACCTCCAAAAAATTACAAATTTAAAATTTTTTCAATTTTTTCAATTTTTTTTACTAAAAACTGCCGTAACTTTTTCAAAAATGAACATATTAATATAATTGTTTTTTATAGATGCTTGATGTCATTACCTATCATTTAGTATATTTTTTTGTAAATTTGACCTCATAAAAATTTTTATACGTTAATACTTATTTTTTACTAATTAGTAATAATATCAAAGATTAGAAGTGATAGAAAGTCTAATTGCAGATTTGAAAACAGTGCGAAAAGTTGAAAAATAAAAATATATTTTTGCTTATGATGACAGTTCCTTGTTGTCCAGTGTATTTATTCATAAGTAACAAAAATTTAATTTTTTTAATATTTATTGCATCAAGCCTTTTAAATTTTTATACGCGTCAAAAGTAAAGAAATATACAACTATACTATTTATCCGTATATACCAACTGAAACAGAAGCCGTTTTCAAAATCTTAACCAAACTAATAATTATTTAAAACTGAAACCCAAAATTTATTGAAGAGTTACTCGATCTCAACTAAAAAAACATTTAAATAAGCTATTCTAGTAATTTAATAGTTGGTAAATTAAAATTAATCAAATTAAATTTTCATTTGTCAAACGCATGGGAAAAATTTTTTTCATATGTCATTAACGGTACCTTTAATATTCCTTATTCAATTGAAATCAACTACTGGGTTTAATATTAGACAGTAGATATACTGATCGTGACAAACGAAATTAGTGTAGAGATTTGACCCATGCATAATAATAATAAAATTAGTAAAAATAAAATAATTTTATTATAATAAAATTGTATTATAAATAATAGCTTTGTAAATAGCTATCAATATCCAGACAACTATAATGTGAACCATCTCTCTAGAGAAGTACTGTAATATTATTAAAATAAAAATAAAAAATTGTTATAAACATAATTAAATATATATTTTAATTATGTTTATAACAATTTTTTATTACTATATAACATTATTTTTTTATTACTTATAAATATATTATTAATATTATATTTTAGCATGAGAATAAGCGAAGTTTTTTTTAAATTTAAATTGTTGATACGTGGCATTTACTAAACAGTGAATGCAATGTAGACAAATAATTTATTTAATACAAAATAAATTATATTTATCTGTCGTCTTAGTTAGTGTTGAGATTTTCAACTTTTCCAAAACCTAGATCTTCATAACAATTTTTGTAAACATTTTCACAGAAATTGTCAAAATAATTACACGCAGTGAGATATATTTGGGATGAATATGGATTAGCAGTCAATGGCAATAAATCATAAATTATTTTGAATTTTTCAATAAATGGTTTTCTCATAAAACACCGATCATTCATGCGATTCAAATCGCTTTTTAATTCTTTATAGAAGTTATTACGAAACATTGAAAAGATGTTTAGTAGTTTTTTAACATTCTCGGTTATCGGCTTTTCATTTTTTACATTTTTATCTTTAGAAAACTCATTGTTATTCAATAAACTTAGAAAATCTATAACCCAATCAAATATTTTCTGTAAACTCGAATGAGACCTTACATTAAAACTCCATATTGATGACTCATTTAAAGAAGTTATAGCAGATTTCAATCCATTAAACATTTTTTTTGATTTATTGAGTGAGTCAAATAATTCAACCAAACAATAGTAATACTGATGTTTTGCACTCATGGTGCATGTATGTAGTATGACAGATAATAGTACATCGTAATTTTTCATTATTTCTGTATACCTACATCTTAATAATTGTATTACATGTTCTTTTTTCACGCGAAAATTTATGTTATTAATTTCGTCTTTCATAATAAAATCGACACTTAATTGTTTATAATTATAAATTATATTTATGTGATCCATTGTTTTCCAACCAGATTCCTGACGAAGAATATTTAGAACTTTAATTCCATAATTTTGATTTATTTTTGGGTCTATTGGAGGTGTAAATCTATATAAATCAACAATTAATAAGATTATTATATCATTACATAGTTAGTATAATAATCATAAATATTGTTAATGAGTAATTTTAAATTTAATTATGTAAAAATTATGAAATATAGAATTTGTTTTATAATGTTAAAAAATGAAGAAAATAAGTAAATATACATTACAGATCACGGATTTACAATATTTATATTTCAATTAGTTTTATTTCTTCTAGCAGAATAATTATTTTTCAAACTAGTAGATGAGATTTTGTAAATTTACTACAATACTTTTTTCGAAATTATTTAACGAAACATTAAATTAAACATAAATATAAATTTCATTAAGTACTAATCAACCTAACATCAGGCGACAATTTTCCTATTATACTGAGGGCGAATAATTATACCAACGTAGAAAAATGATGAAAAACTTCAAAAACCTAACTGGCTTCATTGACTTAATGAAAAATGAAGTCATATAAATAAAATATTAAGAATATCAATACCGAAAACTAGAATAAAAAACTTTATATCAAAAGTACAAAAATCGAATGAAAAATTATAAATGCTATTAAGTAAAAAAAAAAAAATTAGTAGTTCCATCATTCTTGATGGAACCACAAAAGTCGACTATTTTGAAAAACGTATACTATTACAACGAAAATTTTAATAAATTTTTGAAATAGTCTAAACATATTAATTTAATCCAAAATATAAATTTCATATATTTTCAAAATACATGTGAAGTTATTTATAATAACTATAAAGTTAGAAATTAAAATTATATGTTGGATTACTTACTCAGGTATATTGGGATTCAGAAATTCTTCAAAGCCAAGGTTTTTGTACCAAATTTCTATGGTTTCGTTATAAAACGCATTAAGATCACTACATGTTAAATAAACTAAGTATAAGTCGTTTTCATTAGAGGATTCATTAATTGGATTTGTTGTCGAATTAGTATTTACGGAAGTGTCGATGATAACACTTTTTTGAAACATATTGTTTACTATTTCTGATGCTTCTGCATAAAATTCATTTAAATTCTTAAACTTCGTTTCAGAGTCTTTAAGATTTGGTAAGCTATTGAGATCAAAAGATACAGTCTCTGATGTATATTGTAAGACAAATTGTTTAAAAAAATCAATTTCATCAATTATAGCATTTGGTACATTGTATCCTTTAAACACATATCTTACATCTATTTCACTTATATACTTCATAGCGTTGTAGAGGTTTTCAAACATAGTATTGGAAAATTTCACTTCTTCTACAAGTGATGTTATACAACAAATAAAATTTTCCCATAAATTTTCATCACGAAATTGCTTACATTGTTGAAGAATAATATCTAAGTAATTGAGGAATTTTTTTAGTATTCCTGTGTACTTGAAATTGAGTACACTTATTGTATTAGAATAGTTATATCTGAAATTATTCAGATACAAGTCGGGTTGGAAAGCTTCCTCTATTCTAATAGTATAATTTGAATCTAATTTCAATATTAGATTTCGTATTTCATTTGATTCAATATTTGAACGAATGTGATCAGTCACTGTTTTGATGAAATTTTTATAATGATCATTATAATTAGCACATTGTTCTGCTTTATCTGGTTTCAATACAAAAACAGCAATAGTCATACAAATTAACAAAAAAGAGTCCATTAAAAGTTAAATAGTAATATTAAAATCTACTTGTTTGAATCTTTGGACGATTCAAAATGAATATATATAAATATGTTCATATATTTTTTATATCATTATTTTTATTAATATTCGGTATTAAAACATGTATCAAGAATATGAATCATTTTGTGCGACGCTAAATATACACTTATGAAAAATTTTAATTTAATATAAATGGATAGTTATTGAATAGCAAACATATTTATTGAGATATATATTAGTGTTTTATTATAAATTTTATATTCTATACTAAAATTGAATCAAACTGAATGCTGTTCTACTATTTTAAAACAATTATGAATATCCTGATAATGTTATTATTTGTTTATGGCTTTCATGTCTATCTACGTAAAGGAAAATAATCGTTGCTCTTTGTTAGCTTGTTTATTTAGAAAATAGAATAAAAGAATGAACATACTTCATAGCTGATTAAATAAAAAAAAATATATGTGTAATGTCCTAAATTTTTTTTATTAAGTATTTTGTATTCGAGGATTTTTTAATGAACATTACATAACTATAATTTACTATTAATTAAAAAATAAAAATAAAAATAATTACACCCATAACCCTTATATTTAAATTGTGCTATATAATTTTTATTCAATTTACGTGTAAAATACACGTAAAATTTAATCTTTATAATTTGGTCACTATTATGTACTTTAAAATATGTAGGTATGTTATTTAAGCGGGTGGCTACCAAATCTTTATATTATTTTTTATATAATAAATAAAGAATCATAATAAGTGCACTAATCGAGATATCCCGTAAAATTATTCTAATTAAAATATATTTCCAAATAAATAACTATAAACATTAGTAGTCCGTCGGGGTTCAGCTCTAATAAATATCCTCTTTTTCAATCGTCTTGAAAGTGGAGGTAATAATTTTTTCTGTGTTCAATTTTATTCAACTTCAATAATCTTCATATAATAAAATTCTGAGTCACAGGCGAAACTTTAGGTAAGTTATTTAAAGATTTACAATTCGCAGTGAAATTCATTGTTAGTTTCATTATATTCACTAAGCAAGTATTTTAGATGATCCTGACTATTCGTAAAATTTGTTCTTAATGATCCCTTTTACTCACATCTCGTCAGAGATAATTTATTTTCTTTAATAGCAACTCGATCATAGAAGATCTCATTCATCGTATTGAAAGATATCAGTTGGTAAAACAACGACGGCTATTCACCAACAATTATTTATTATTCAATAAGTAAAATCATCACTGTATCCCGTTTTATATTTTTCTTTTGAGTTACTATAATTCATAGCCAGATTTCATAATGAAGCCCAAGGACACTGAAACTCAGAAAAAATAGGCGTCACACACGTATAACCATTTCATTTCTTTTGCTCCATTATTTTTATTATTTAGTACTAAAATCAATGAAATTGAATAAATTAAAATGTATTTTTTTTGTAATTGTACAGAAGTAAATATGAATTTCAGCTAGTCGTTTATATGACAGTTTTATAGATGTGGTTTTCTCTCGTGTTGGAGATTTAGAGATATAAAATATAAAATTCATTTGAATATGTATACAAAAAACTTTTTAAATAGACTATTGATATTTCATTATACATTTTATAATAACGTTGGTTGATAATGATTTGATTAGTACATTGATAGAGGATAACCCTTATCATAAGGTCCTTATGATTGCATTGAACATCCTAAAATTATATCTATTTTAAACATTTCTTTTGCATACAAATGAACCTGAGTTTTGTAACAACCTGTTAAATCAATTTCAGATATTGATTTTTACTATTTTTAAATACTAAGTGTTTTTTTTTGTTATTTTTTGGGTTTTAAGTACAAAAATGCGTTTACATCGTAGTGCTAGGAATTAAATACATTTATAAATGTTCGGTTTTAGATGAAAAATCCATATTATTGCAAAAAATATAATATAAATATAAGCTCAGTAAAAACATATTACAAAGTTTTTAAGTAAATTAATAAAATATTTTACTGGTTGATGAAATATTTCAAATGATTTAACAAAATTTATAAATGCCTTAAATTCTTAGCACTAGTAATTAATACTAATAGTAGTGTTAATATTAACTATAATTTTATCATTTTAATGTTAAAATTATTTACTATACAATTGACAATGGTAAAATACATCTATTAAAATGTTAAAAATTTATCTACTTTATCATTGAAACAGCTAGGAATAAATATTATTTTTTACTAGTTTTTTGTTTATATTGCAAGAACACTTATTACTATGTTCTTATCACTTAAATTATATACGTTTTATATCGTTTAATTATATCATTGACATAAAACAGTAACAAGTTAGTTTAAAGTTAGTTTAACTTTACTACATAATCCAGTGGCGGATCGTGGGTGTTGGTGGTGGGGGTGCGACTTAAAATATAATACTGCTAGTCATAGGTATAAAAAATTATCAAATTAAATGTAATAAAATAAAACACAATACACATATTATTTTAAAGGTCGCAGTAGAAAATAGAAATGAAAATAATAATAATAGCGACTAACTATTATAGCAACCGATAACGACGAGCGTACACGTAGTTAATTCTAAAAATAAATTACCCTTATTAGTAATATACTAATATTTTACCGTAAAGACGACTCTGCCAGTCTTACATAAGATTGCAGCTGAACTCAACCCATACGCATACGATTGGGCACCTCGTTAATAATATACGTTTCAAAATATTGTTCGGACGACGCTATCGGTCGTCCAAACACTGCTCGTGTGTGCATGCTTACTCGCATATACTTAGAAAAACAACTTAAATGTGCACAGACGACAAATTGTATAATATTGTAACTATTTTACTATTTAAAAATTTGCACTTTTATTCAATATGTGGATGTAAGAATATACAATTAATTTTCTTCTTTTAATTAATTTTAGGGAGAGTGCGATCATCCCGTCGTCCAAGTCACGAGATGCTTTTTAGGCGCTACTGATATAATCTCTCTCTAGTAACTAAGGTATAAGATTGTATGTGTCTCCTTAAGGTAATTAAAACTCATTTAAGGAGATAGGGACAAAATTTGGCCAGACATCGGATAGCTTCCGATCTTTGATTTTGATCAAGATCCTCAAGTAATTAACAAATCCCAAACAATATTAATATAAGTTATAGAAATTAGTATAATTGTGATGAACTGGATGTTCTAAGTCCAAGTTCGATCACGCGGTTATATGTTGTCAGGAAGAAAATAACAACTAATTATAATGTAACATTCACTGACTGAACACTGACCACCGGGAAGATAATCAAGACCCCTTTTATATTTGCATTGTTCATTAAATAACTATTAAAACATTAATACCATAATACTTTCTAGTGTTAAAATTAAAGTATTTGGCAGTATAATCTTATTTTCAAGTAATTATAATGTTACATATAAATTCCTTAAAACTAAAATTTACAAAATGATGGGTTTACAACATAATTTTTTGAAAAATATATGAATAATTAAACGGGTACTTTTAATTTTAATTTAATCATACTTATACTTATCGTAACCTGTGTTCTATATAATATTCTACTCATTTTTAAGTTTTGATAAAAAACATTTATAACTAATATTTATAATTAATAAAAAAAAAAAAAATGTCAAACAAATAGGAAAAAATAATTCCTACGTTTTGATTTTTAAATGTTTTAAGTAATAATTTTTATTTAATTTATTTTTATTTATTTTAGCATAAAACTTGAAAATTTAATAAAAATGATGAATTTTTAGGCTATCATTAAATAAATACATGAAATATTACCTTTTTAAAAAACATTTACATAAATATGAGAAAGGTAAAATTAGGTATAAGATAAATAATAATTAAGATAAAATGTTAATACCTTTATTTTCATAGGATAAATAACGCAAACAACCCAGCACAGTGGGGACGTGGCATAGTTGGGTCCAATATAGATTTAATCTGACAATGATTAAAATCACTATCATGAGAAACGCTTCGATGAAAATCTGTAGATAGTGTTCAATTCTAAGAAATTGGTGGATAATTATAAAAACAACTTCAACTTTTATTACCTTAATTATATCCAGATAGTAATTCTTAGATTCAAAAATATAATATATAATTTTTTAATTATATATTATATAATTTTTATTATTAATTGTTTTCAAATTTTTAGATTTGTGATTTATATAAAAACATGTTTCAAAATAAGTTGGAATGTTATACATAATATAGATTGTTAGTAGCACACACAAATAGAGTCAAAAAATTAACAAATTAACAAAATAAAATTATTTACTTTTGTAGTTGAATACTTTTATCATATTAAATCTAATTTGATAATGAATACTTTAAAAATATTAGAAATGAATGATTTTAATTGTTTGTATGGAATTTTTTTTTTAAATTTTAAGGGTATTATCTTCAACTAAATACGAATTGTAATCATTTGACGTATCGTTGTTTAAAGGACGCAGTATTTTCGGAACATTTTCAAAAGTTAAATAAAATATGTTCCACTTTTTATACGTATGTTTAAAGATTTGAACGCCCTCTTTTTAAAGGGAAATTGTCCAATTTAAATTAAAATTATGTTAAATGAAAGAAGTACATAAATATTATTTCTTATAAAAAATTGTATTGTTCCATAAATATTTTAAAAAGTTATAGTATTTAAAAGTTAAAAATGTAAAATATAAAATCGATAATTTTAACACAAAAATAGCATACGTAGCCATTTTCACCGTGAAGACAAAATAAAGTCCAAAATTTTTTTTTTGTCATAATTAAGTATATTACATAAGCTTTAATTTCAAAAGTTAAGTTGAAAACGTTAATTTTTGTAAAAATGTTGTTATTTTAAATCCCTCCCCCCGTTGAGCAGGTTAAGTGTTTGATTTTCAAAAAAATGATATCNTTTTGTAAAAATGTTGTTATTTTAAATCCCTCCCCCCGTTGAGCAGGTTAAGTGTTTGATTTTCAAAAAAATGAGAGGGAAACATCTAAGGTTTCAATATAAAAAAAATTAAGTTGATTTGTTAATTTTTGAATAAATTATAGTAGTTTTAAGAAAAAAAGTGAAAAAATTATGAAATTTACAGATTATAAAATTTTTTTTTTTTGGAAATTTCCCCCATTTATGGGAAATTTTAAAATTTTTAAGGGTAATGTCTTCAACTAGATACGATTTTTGATCTTTTGATATATTGTTTTTCAAAATCGGTCCAATGAGAGCTGAGAAAAAATGGTAACAGACACACAAGAAAAAACCCATTTTTAAAAAAAACTTTAATTTAAGATATATATAAAAGTGTCAGACCTTCCGTAACATTTTCAAAAGTTAAGTTGAAACAGTAAATTTTCTGTGAAAAATTTGTCATTTTAAATCCCCCCCTGTGGGCAAATAAAGGGTAAAATTTACAAAAAAAGTATACAAAATGATAGGTAATGACATCAAGCATCTATATAAAAAAAAATTATATTTATATGTTCATTTTTGAAAAATTTACGGCAGTTTTTAGTAAAAAAAATTTCGAAAATTTTAAATTTGTAATTTTTTGGAGGTTTCCCCCATTTACGGGGAACGAGTGAAATTTTTTCAATTTTTAAGGGTAATGTGTTGGACTAGATACCATTTGTGATCTTTTGACGTATCGTTGAAAGAAATCCGTTTAGTGAGAGCTGAGAAAAAGTGGTAACAGAAAAAAAAAAAAAAAAAACATACATCATAGTAAAACCAATACCTTCTCAGCTTCGCATTGAAGCTAAAAACACATCATGATAAAATTAATATCTTATCAGCTTCGCATCGAAGCTAAAAAAATAAGACATTTTAAATAGTGTAGGATACACAACCCTGTTTATTAATCATATGACAAATCCACATAAAATTGTACTCAAATAAAAATAAGAAAATAACGTTGCTTTGAATTTATACTAGACTATTTTTGTACTAAAAATTATCATTTTATAAGATTTACAAAAAAATAACTAAATATTTGAAAATAACTGAAATGGCATAATAAAAATATCTGTTTGTAATCAAAAATTTTGTAGTAATTTTTTTTCTCTTTTTTAGATGTATAATTTATTTAACATGTACTGTAAGATTGTAAACTCGCATAATTTTTAGTAAAATTCTTTATTGTGAATGTGAGAGATAATTTTAAGAAATCTATTTTTATCATTCAACTCGTTGTTATCTATATCTTTTATATGTAGTAATGATTAAGTAGACAATTAATCTATCTAATCCACAATAAATTGATTAAGTTTATTGTCTAAGCTATTGTTGTGACAGTCAACTTTACTGAAACCCAGATCTTCATAACAATCTTTATAAGTATCTTTACAAAAATTGTCAAAATAATTACACGCAATATGGTATGTTCGAACTGAATGTTAAGGATATGTATTATTATATTTAATTGTTAAATCCCTGAAATCATTTATTATTATTGCCCTATCATAAAACGGCGCCTTCATTATACAACGGGTGTACATGTATTTCAAATCGTCATGTATCTCATAATATAATTTTGTACGAAACCCTGAAAATAATGTTAGCAGTTTTTGAAATTCCGTTTTTTGTATATCAGGTTTATCGGCATTATTTACCAGAGAAAACTCATTGTTTTTTAACAAACGGAGAAAACCTGAAACCCATTTTAATATATTCTTTAAATTCGAATTAGAGTTGTAATTAACACTCCATATTGATGATTTATTCAAAGTAATTAATGCTGTGTACAATCCTTTAAGCAATAATATAGATTTATTAAATGAGTTAAATAATTCAATTATACAATTGTGATAATCGTCATTATCATCTGCATTGCATATAAACAGTATAGTAGATAACAGAACGCAGTAGTTTTTCATTATTTCTGTATATCTACATCTTAATAACTGTGTTACATACTCCTTTTTTATTCGAAAATCGATGCAATTAATCTCGTTTTTTATTATACAATCTACGCTGAATTGTTTATCATTATAAATTATATTTATGTGATTCATTTTTTTCCAACCAGTTTCCTGCCGAAGAATATTGAGAGCTTTAATTCCATCATTTTGATTTATTTTTCGATGTATTGGAGGTGTAAATCTATATAAATCAACAATATGATTATAAATAACTAATGAAATAACTATAATTATTAGACTATATTAAACAAAAAGAATATGCTTACTTCATAAATATATACATAACATTTTAAATATTATTAGCCCCAATCTTTCCAATTAGTGAACCACTAAAGGAGTGAGTTTTAGACCGGTCATCACGGTTTAAAACAAAAGTAGCAGACTGATAGGTGGCTCCTCGTCAGCACAATTACCTTTCACTATACCTACTAAAGGACGGTTAAGCCCAAAAACTATCCAGCACGCTCACTAATTGTTGACTAAAGGACTTTAATGCAACTTTAACTATAGCCGCACACACATACTCAATTTTAATAGCACTGCGTATATAATGTATTTACACTAAGTGTCGGTTTTCAAATAATTATATTTTATTTTCAAAACGTAATAAACACAAAATCAAAATATAGCACAATATAAATTTAGTAGTTCAAAATACTGAGTTACTCACGCCAAACGTTCTGACCCGTAAGTCGACGTTTTTTAGTCTAAACGTCAATCCCCCTATACTTTTCATGTTTCCCTTTATATATTCTTTTCCCCATCATTATTAATTTGCTTACTCTGCATTTTCTCTTTATATGACATTATTATATTATTAAAGAGTTTTAAAATTGCTTACTACTGTGGTAAGAACTTATACTATACTAATATCGAAGTTATTTAATACTCAGCTATTTATTACAGTAATTTATATTTTATAGAGTAAAAAGATAATGTTCTTTTCTGTCCTTTACATAATAAAAACTAACATTCGATACCATAGGAAAATCGTTAAAAAGAATAAAATTTAACATACAATTCAAATGCTATATAAATGTAACTAGTGAATTGAAATAAGAGTTTTTTGATTTAAAATTTGTCTTTAAAACTTTTATATGAAATATTTATTGTAAAACAGTTTTTGTAATTGCAAAAAATAACATAAAACATATTAAAAATATAGTCCTATATTGTAAAAATTGATAAAAAAGAAGTATAAAATGTAAGTAAATTATATGAGTTGTGCAATTAGATTTGTCCTATTCTGTTTAAACAAATATAATGTAATCAAATTTTTTATAAGATGCGAAAAAATAATAATTTACTATATTCAAATTATAGTGTATTTTATTATAAATTATATAAATGGATCTAAAAATATATAAAAAATCAAATAATATGTGTATTTTAAACAAACTTTGTTTATATTTTAATTTTCACACAGGCTATTGAAAATTTACTTAAATAATGTTAAACAACAATTATATTAAACAAGACTATTTGTCAAGATACTGGGGGTTATATTAGAAAAAATATCGTACGTGGAAACTATACACAAAATAACTTAAATCAAAGGCAATTTAAGCTGTTAATGTTGTTAGTGTTCTAAGAAACACATTAAACCATTGACTGCACTAATAATATAGGACTGAGAGTAGCATTAGTTACATTCAAAAGTAAATAGAGAACTTAACACTAATATTAAAAAAAAAGAAATAGAAATAAACTATTTAGCAAAATCAGCCAGAAAAAATAACACGAGAATTAAATTAAATAACGAACAAAAGAAACTTAAGGAAAAATACTTTATTAAATTAATAAACACAATTACCAGATATTATAACTCTAATCCATTTTGGTAAAGTGAATATATTATTAATACAGAATTTAATAGACTATTCAAATACCAAACACCTCCTGAAGTTTACAAGAGAAAATTTCAAACTTAATAGATTAATAACTACTACGACTCTATACAAGTATATGTAAGTAAGTATATATAAGAATATACTGATGTGTCCAAAAATACAGAAGGAATCGGAATAGCAATAACTTTACCAAATGATAAAAAAATATACAAGCTATTAAATAACTGTAGTAAATACACAGTGGAGGCAATAGCAATATAATTGACAAACCACACAATCTTGTGTGAAGTAAAATAATAATTATATTATTATAAGACACTCTTTAAGTGCTAAGATATTATTAAAAATTAGTTCCGATGAGGAGATGTGGCCATGAAAATACAGAAAAAATTAAACGATTCCATAATGAGAGAAAAAGAAGCAATAAAATGTGAATCATGTGAAACTATAATTACAGTAACAGATATTTTAACTGAATGTATCAATTATGAAAACCAAAATAAAATATAAGATTCCTAACCATATCCACGAATTAATAAGATTGAACACAGACAGTCATAGCACTACTGCAATTCTTCAAAGAGACCAAGCTGGATGAAGAAATATAATGTATAATTGTAAGTTTTGATACTATACAATTTTAAATGTAAATAATAATATTAATATTAATATTACTAATGGCTATAGTTGTAAATAAATGATAAAAAAAAAAATAATAATGAAATAATCATATTTTTAAAACACATTTCGTAAAGTTATTTATTTCAATTATAAGATTAGAAGTTAAATTATATTAAAGAATTCTTACTTAGGTATTTTGGGGTTAAGAAATTCTTCAAAGCCAAGGTTTTTGTACCAAATTTCTATGGTTTCGTTATAAAACGCATTAAGATTACTACATGTTAAATAAACTAAGTATAAGTCGTTTTCATTAGAGGATTCATTAATTGGATTTGTTGTCGAATTAGTATTTACGGAAGTGTCGATGATAACACTTTTTTGAAACATATTGTTTACTATTTCTGATGCTTCTGTATAAAATTCATTTAAATTCTTAAATTTCGTTTCAGAATCTTTAAGATTTGGTAAGCTATTGAGATCAAAAGATACAGTCTCTGATGTATATTGTAAGACAAATTGTTTAAAAAAATCAATTTCATCAACTATAGCATTTGGTACATTGTTTCCATTAAACACATATCTTACATCTATGTAGCTTATAAACTTCATAGCGTTATAGAGGTTTTCAAACAAAGTCTTGGAATTTTTCAATTCTTCTATAAGTGATGTTATACAACAAATAAAATTTTCCCATAAATTTTCATCACGAAATTGCTTACATTGTTGAAGAATAATATCTAAGTAATTGAGGAATTTTTTTAGTATTCCTGTGTACTTGAAATTGAGTAAATTTATTGTATAAGAATAGTTTTCTCTGAAATCATTCATGTAAGCATATGGTTGGAAAGCTTCTAATACAATAAAGGACTTATTTGGATCTTGATGTAGATTTTGATTTTGCATTTGATTCAATTCAATTTGTGAATAAATATAGCCAAATACTGATTTGACGTAATTTTTATAATCTTCACGATAATATGCACATTGTTCTGCTTTATCTGGAATCAATACGAAAACGCCAATAGTCATACAAATTAACAAAAAAAAGTCCATTAATAATAAAATAGTTTTGTAAATCTTATATCGTTTTAAACTTTTGTATAATTGAAATGAACATATGCTAATGTATTTTTTATTATTTTATATCATTTTTTAGTAAAAAAGTTTGTATAAATAGCATAAATCTATTTTTTGAGACGGTAAAAATATAATGTTCAGTAAATTAGATAACGGGTTTCTAATTTTCTCATTGTTTGTGACATTTTATTTGTTTCATTTCTTACTAAATACTTGTATATTAATCCAATATGGCTTACTTATTTTATTTTTCAAATAGTTTCCAACAAGAAATTTTTTCAGTATATTATGTTATTTTATAAAATGGGATCTAATTATTTTTTGGTTAAATTTAATTTTTTTGAATTCAATAACAGTTTTATATAAAAATCCCCCCAGAATCAAAAAATAAAATTATTTATAAATAAAGTAGAGTTACGATTAAAAATTATTTTTTTACATTTTGTTAATAATATTATCAACTAATTTTAAATAAAAAAATTCATCTTTAAATACTATTTAGTCAAAAATTTAATATGAAATAAACCCGTCCCAGTAAATAATCGTATCTACGCCACTGTATATAATTCGTTTTTTGTACAAATATTGAATTTCAATTGAATATATTTCTACATGTTCTTTCTATTTCAAAGTTTTCAATAGGTGTAATAAATATGAAATGAGATAATTGAGACTGATACTGGACCAAATATCGTCGAAACCTTTAAAAAATGAAATCTAATAAATATAAGTGTTAAGGGTTCTATTCCAATAATTTAACTCATTGAATTTTAAAATTGCAAGTTGTTGTATAAATGAATGGTTTTTTAAGTTATTTAAAATAAGTATCGTTATGATAAATATTTAAATAACCAGGTGTTGACTACACAGATTATAATATTAAACAATTTTTTGAAAGGTATTTGTAACACAAATTAACAATTCTTTTAAAGAAAAGTTAATACTTAGAAGTTTTAAGAACAAAAATTTATATTAATTCGAAGTTAGAATTAAGTTACTATAAATAAGTATCCATGCGCTAATATATTATCGGTGATTTACATGAAAAAATTCATTGCGATTATAATATGGCGCGCATACTAGATAAAGATATTTTTTATTGATTCATGCAACTAGATTTGTTTTAAAAAATAACAAATAAATAACTGATCTAATTTTAGTTATTAAACTTTAAACCGGTGTGTAAGAATTCTATTTATGTGTAATTCATCTAACGACATCCTTGTATATTAAGCATAAGACAAAGAAAAAAGTTTCGTATTATTTATATTTTCAATATATTTTTTTTGTAGAACAATATATGGTTCTTATTGAGCGCGGTGATTCATATTTAGGTATTACTATTTTTGGAAAATGAGCTGACGTGTTAGATAAAATATTATTATATTAAATATAAAAATATAATTAATATTACCTGCCTACATTAATGGGGAATTTGACTCACTGAAAATGTTGGTGAAACTAGGTATTATTCTAACATAGTATTCATTATGATTGAAAGGAAAGTGGCCTAATTAAAACAAGGCACCGACATACTCTCAAATATAAATAAAATAATAATATTTTACAATATCCCCAAGTAGTTGGTATTAAAAGCAATGAAAAAGAAGAAAAAAATATTATATAATATATATTATATATGTATACAGGTGTGAAATAAGTTTAGAAACACCTATTTTTTAGAGCTGTTATTAATTTTTTAAATAATTTTTCTATAATTAAATACATCTTTAACGATAAAAATTAAAGTTTAACTCCTATGTAAAAGGGTAGAAATTTACCCATTCTAAAGAAATTTAAATGATAACCATTCCTTTTTTTTTTAATTTTCAGTTAGGTAATTTTATTTAAAACAAAAATACTTATAAAATTTTTAAGTTGGACAAGTCATTCTTGAGATTTCACTTTTTAAGCGCATTAATTTTAAGCTTGGCATCACTTATGCCACAGTAATAACTTATCAACGTGTGATTCCGTAGACACAATAATTATAAATTGCCTGATTATTATTGCATGGTTTTTTTTAATAATGGTTCCTCAGCATAAAAAGATCATTATACAGAGTGGTCCACCACTCACTGACAACTTAAATAACTTTTGATCCAGTTAATATTTTTAGTTGATTTTTTTTTAAATAATAGTTATACGTTAGGTCTATAGCTATATCTCAATAATTAATTTTTTTACATTTTATTAAAAATATTAATTATTTTTAAATTTTAAATAAAATGTAAAAAAAAAATCTAAGATAGCTATTTTGTAGAGTAGAATTTAAGAAAAATTTTAGTAAAAAAATATCTTATTAATATTCAGTAGTAAATATTCTGTAGCGTTTTGAAGTTTGTGAAAATTTGAATTTTCATGTACTATTTTACGGTATTAAACATTGAAATACGTATTGAGAAAAGGACAGAAGAAAACGCTATCTTTTCATGATTACTGTGTATACATATGATGATAGTGTGTATACATTACAAACTTGGCATAAATACCATGATAAGAAATTAGATAAGGCAATTATTACTTATCACTCTCATTCAAAAGTATATTGAAAAGATAGCGTTTTCTTCTGTCCTTTTCTCAATACGTATTTCAATGTTTAATACCGTAAAATAGTACATGAAAATTCAAATTTTCACAAACTTCAAAACGCTACAGAATATTTACTACTGAATATTAATAAGATATTTTTTTACTAAAATTTTTCTTAAATTCTACTCTACAAAATAGCTATCTTAGATTTTTTTTTTACATTTTATTTAAAATTTTAAAATAATTAATATTTTTAATAAAATGTAAAAAAATTAATTATTGAGATATAGCTATAGACCTAACGTATAAATATTATTTAAAAAAAAATCAATTAAAAATATTAACTGGATCAAAAGTTATTTAAGTTGTCAGTGAGTGGTGGGCCACTCTGTATATTGTGATATAATTAAATATCAATACATTTTTGTTTTACGATAGAATTTTCGTCACATTTACAAGAGAAAGTAGACTGATGTTGAAAAACATTTATATTGTCAAATTAAATATTTTAGTCAAGTACAACCAATTGAGTTGTTATTCGCGAATATAATTTTAACCCATCTTTATCATTTTGTAGCATGAAAATTAAAAATTCTACGTCAAATATTTTCAAATTGCCTTTTTAATTTTTGATTTTTTTAACTCTTTATAATTTTCATCAATATGAGAAATTAATATTTATAATAATTATTGAACTATGGTTATATTGTTATATGGTAACTATGGTTACATTTTTGATGGAGAAATTTTAGTTACTGTTGTTAAACTTTTTTTTAACAAACAGAATATTGTAAGGTTGTCGTATTAAAAAAAATACCACATACTCTCTCCTTCATCGGAGATATATTACTGATTAACCCTTACTGTTCTTCGTAAATAATTAATTATGCAATTAATTAAGTACTTAATTTGATATTATTACTTTTAAAGATACAAGGCATGCAATATTAATCAATTATTAAAATCAATAATATTAAAAACTACAAAGTTTAATCTGTATAATTTTATTTCTCTGTAAGCAACATTCGGAACTCTTTTATAATTCATAGATGGATTTTTATTTTATAACTAATTTATATTTTTATATTTATACAACTAGGCTTCGCTTAGCTGAGGCTCCGCTCCAAACTTAGTGATGTGTGAGCATTACAGGTTGACTACTGATTACAACAGAAGTACACGGCTACCCCGACCACGATGTGTTTTGTAAAAATAGTATGACACCATAACTAGTTTACCAAAAATCTAGTGTCACTTGCAAACTAAATAATATTAAAAAAAAAATAATACGACTACAAAATACTTTGGTTTATTCACAATTATACTTTATAATAACCTACTAATTATTATTTAAAAAAACAGGTAGACGCAAGAAAACTTAATAATCATTAAAAACAATCTTTAAAGTCATATTATAAGTGAAAATTACATAATCTAACATAAAATTTTAACAAAATTGAGATGTGCAAGTAAAATTATATCTCACTAAAAATTATGCAATTGGACTCAAAAAAAACAAAAAATTAATTTTCTTTATTTTATTAAATACGAGAAATCAGATGATAATAAGATAATAATAATAAGATGATAATCATATAATGATATTATCGTAATAAGATGGATAGGCAGGCGATAGATTTTAAATGTTACAAAATTTAAAAATACCATTAAATTAGAAATTATATATAGTATGAAATTGATATTTAATAATTTAATATTGTAATTTTTATGGAGAAATTAAAAAAAATTATAAAGTAATTTGAGCTAAAACGTTTTTAAATGTTCAGCATTTTTAAATTATAAAAATAAACTCTGATGGATCAAAAATATGTTAAAAATGTCATTTTGAATTGAAATTTACCTGGATTATTTTTAGCATACTAAAAACAAATAATAACCTAATAAAATGTTTTTTTAAATTAATTTTTTCATGTATTTTATTAATTAGTAATAATCTAAAAAAAAGTGAAAATGTTCAAACTTGAAATCAGCGTTAAAATTTGGTTTATCAAAGTATATATTGCTCAATAATCACTAAAAAATATTTTATTTTATTGATATGATTTTACTGTATAATTTGGTATGAAAACGAATTTTATACTCTATTTAATTTGAAGATATTTAATAAAAAAGTATTTTTTAAGTGGTTATTTTATAGTAGCGTAATTTTGAGATGATTGTATGAATTTTTTAAATTAAAAGGTTTTTGACCAATATCTAGTGATAATAAATTCAAATTATGTTATTTTGACGAATTATTCATTAAATTTGGTCAAGTGAGAATAGAGAAAATGAATGACAGTCAAAAAAAGAAAAACTATATAGAAAAATATTTTAATATGAATAAGAATTTTTATATTTTAAATAAGGGTTTGACATAATTATTATGATACTGACTTTTAGAAAAGTTACATTAAATATAAATTTTAACTTAGTTTCCATTAAGTTAAGTAAAACGACTTTGAATTTTTTAACTAGCTAAAA